GAAATTCCTCCCCGACATTATTTTCGAGTTTGAGCTTATACCTCTCTTTAAATAAGTGTGATTGTGTTCCTTACCATATTTCGTATGATGTATTATGTACGTTAATGTCTTTTGTTTTTGTTTTTGTATGTTATGGTCAGTGCTTAAAAAAAGGGAATTAATGTCTTATTCCTCTTAAAGTTTTCTTTTTTATGGAACAATGAACTTAATATGGAGGCATGGCCACAATGAACTATATGTTGCCAAAGAGTATTAGTCAACAGATCATAAAGATCATACTTTAAATTCAATTTTTTTGACATGAACTAGTTATGGATATTAAGTTGGTTTGATTTGGATTATTTTTGGTACTACTTTGGTTATTTAACAATTTCACTCTTTAATTGGTGGTTAAGTCATACACCTATATTGTCTATATGTTATGTTTAAAGTTTTTTAATGTTCGTGTTTTACTGGTGCGCCATTTGTGCGCCATCGCCATCGCCGCGTGAAATTACCCCTGCACCATGTCGGTCGCCGTGCGCCGTGACTACTATGTCTGAGGCTAACTTTTTGAGGTTATTTTTTGCTGTGTACAATGGGGAGGGAACGTGAGATTTTGAGTTAAATTTCTGCATATACTATGCCAGTTAGTAGCACAATAATTGGGTAATCCTTACTCCGTAGATGAGTAGATGTTTATGTTTATTGCATCTCACACTAGCAGAAAAGATTTGGCTCAATAATAACCCCTTGTGTATGTTTGTCTAGCTGTGTGGCTACATGTAAGGTCTTTGAGGAAGTAGAAAGAATGGCCTTTGGTTACACCTAGAGTAAAGGATTTTGGTTTCTCCTTAGTATTATGTGCTGAAAAATTTTCATCATGGGGCAGCACTTTTGCTGGCAAATTTCTTCGTTTTCCATTTTCCTGGGGGTGGGTGCGGCAGTTGATATTTATTCCCTTCTTAAATTCTTCTTCACCAGTGTTGGTCTCTTAGCATTTTCGGAGTACCAAACCGACCCTTAGTGACATCCTCATTTAAAATCCTTGATGCAGGTTGAGGCAATGAAGCACAAGGATAAGACTGGCGTTGAAAAGGAAGAGAAACACAGGAGGAAACATCGTCATCATAAGAAGTCAGAGCATCACAAAAAGTCAAAGGACTACAGTTCAGATGAAGATCAAAGTCATGAAAAAGGGGACAACCGAGGGAAGGGGAGAGACCTGCCATACGAAGACAGAAAACACAAAGAAACACAAGCCAGGGTCCGTGATTCAAAACCAGACAAAGAGAGAGAAGAGAGAGGGGGCAGGTGGAGACGTCCTGTCAGGCTTTCAGAGGAAGAGAGAGCCGCCAGGCTGCGAGAGATGCAGCTCGACGCCGAGGTGCATGAGGAGCAAAGATGGAAAAGAATAAAGAAGGCTGACGAAAATGACGCCAAGGAAGAAGCAATCGTCGGTGCACAGTTGTTGTCGGGAGGACGGACTTTCCTGGATGCCGCTCAGAGAAGTGTATACGGGGCTGAGAAGGGAGGGAGCTCCACCATTGAAGAGAGTGTTCGTCGCCGAACACATTATTCGCAGGGCAGATCTGCAGAAGCAACTGAACGTAATGCTTTCCGAAGGTAAGGAAGATATGTATATTTCAGTGTCATGAGTCTGTGTTAGTTGTTCGCGACCATTTAAATTTGTTGAATTATTTGCAAAATGTGGTATTGTAGTGCTTGTGCACACATTTTAAGAATACTGATTACTGCGAGCTTGTTTGGTTGAGGGATAATTTGTTGAAATGGTTGGAAAGTGGAAACCAATTGGACTTCATTAGGGGTTGAGTACGAATGAAATCTAAGACCATGTATCAAAACAAGTTGACCAGATAATAACTAAGAGCTCATTTGGTAGCCCAGTTTTTCAACTTATCAGCCAAATTCTGCACAAAACACGTAATTTTTGGTTTCACACGCTAAATTGCGTAATAATAAGAAAAAGTAAGGTTGAAGTCACTTTTCTGGCTGTATTGGTAGAAGTTAATGTAGAGGATCATTTTAGCTAGTTTACATATATTTTTTTCTTTATTTTATTAATACAATATATTTTAAATACAATTTTTCAATAAATCAACAGAATCAGTCAATTTATTCACGTCATCTAGGAGTGGACTCGGGCCGGTTCGGGCCCGGTTCGGGCCTGGGCCCGGCCGGGCCTTGGTTCAAGAAGGGGAGGCCCGGAACCGGCCCGGGTAACCCCCGGGTCCGGGCCGGGCCGGGTCTCGGGTATTTTTTTTTTTTGGGGGGGGCTTTTCCTAGTTAACCCCCACCCCTCCCCCTCACCCCCAAACCAACCCTAACCACCTCAAATGGCCCAAAATAACCAGCCCAACCCAAAAACTCAAAAAAATTCAAAAAAAAAAAATTAAAATTGGCCCGGCCCGGGCCCGAACCGGCCGGGCCGGTTCACCTTTTGAAGGGCCCGAGCCCGAACCGAGAATCCACCGGGCCGGGTGGCCCGAACCGCCCAACGAACCGGTTCCTGGGCCGGTCCGGGTCCGCACAGTGGCGGGCCGGTCCGGTTCCGGGTCGGTTGGCCCGGCCCGAGTCCACCCCTAACTTCATCCAGAACTTCATAATTTTTAACAGAATCAGTCAATTCGATTTTGACAATTGTGACATTACCAAACGGCTCTTAAAATATTAGGGTGACAAGCATCTTGCAGTGGCATCACTTTTATATTCCAAAGCCTTGGAGATGACAGTTATTTGTGAACACATACTATAAGTAGGTTATAATATACAAGTATATGTTAGAGTATTTGCCAAAAAAGACATGGGTAAAACGGTCCATAATTATCATATGAACATCTTGGCTACTAAAGGTGGGGAAGGTAAATCGTGAGGGGGTGTAGATGATTGGATTGTCAGGGTTCTCGGCTCTGTTTAGTGATTTGTTAACTATTTCATTGTGAACTTTAGGTTCTAATCATATGATTCATATTGAATCAATCCACTGGTTCTCTAGATTCTGAATGTTGCCCCCGGTTGGTCTACTATCGAACGGTTTTCATATGCGCATGGATGAATTGGATAAGTATAATACGGAGTAATACTATCATTGTTTTGCAAGTGATTACATAAATTGTTACTCTCCCGTCCTGAAATTATCATCTCACTTTCCTTTTCGGTCCGTCCCGAAATTATTGTCCCGTTTCTATTTTAGGAAACCCCTAACCTTATACGAAATGGGACGATAATTTCGGGACGGAGGGAGTACGTTTTTTTTAAATTAAAACTTTCGTATATTGTAATGCATATGGACTATTAATTACCTAAATATCCATATGTCCTAATTCTAAAGCACTCCGGTCCCATTTTATGTGTTTGATGTGTCTAATATTTTGTGTCTCATTTGGTTTTGGTACAATATTTAAGAAATTGGTTTAAAAAGTAAAAATTGTGGTTGACATTTGAAACAAACATAATTAGAGAAAAGAATGTGTACTTGTGAAGGAAATCTTTGGGAAGACTGAAGAAGAAAAGAATGTAATAAAGAAATGATATAGGTAATAATGAGTTAAAAGTTTAGTAGAACCCAAGATTTTATATTTCCATAAGAATGAATGTAGCTTGAATATACATAAACATAAAGACTTGTAAAAACTCACATTGAATACACTTCAACATTAAAAATTTATAAACTTCTAAAAACTTGTCTCTATATCCATCTAGAATGCACCTTCTAAATTAAAGTATCAATGGTATTGCATTAAATTTAGGTTTTCCTAGTTTTAATTATAAAGCATTGCATTTGAAGTTGTGTTTGAAACAAATGAAAAAAAATACCCTGACATCGTGCATCGCTTTCTTCCGTCGATCTCTAAACTCACCTTATGTCGCCATCTCCTACTCTTCTTCAAAGTTCAAATACCTTAATAATAGTAATAGAAATTGCACCAGGACCAAAAACGTTTTGAAATTACAAAATAGGAGTATCATGTTTTTTATTACCTGAATAGGAGTAATCTGTCAAGTTTGAAAAAATGCCATGTTTTAAAGCCTAATGTCAAACTTGGCAGAAATTTACTCTTATTCAAGGAATAAAAAACACGACAATCATATTTTGGAATTTCAAACCCTTCTTACTCTTATTTAGGCAATTCTAATAGTAATGGTATATTCGCAATGTATAAAATGTTACACTTCAGAAATTACTAGAATATTTTGTACCAATTTAAAAGTTTGGAATTAAGTGCATTTTATTTCCTCCAAAATACGATACAATACAATAGCATTACTGCATTAGAGGAAAGGAAAGTTAACACGGGCAAATTTGTGATACCAGTATAAAATAATATCCTCCGTTCCGTTTTAATCGCAACATATTGAATTTTACACTATCCACATGCTCTACTTTGACTATATTTTGCGTTATTTTATGAAAATTATTTTTTTTTAAAATGTTGTTCAATTCATCTCATTACAAATATTCAAAATCTGATTTTTAATATTTTTTAATGATAGAATTAAGATATAATTACGGTCAAAGATGTGCATTGACAAATATGAAATATTGACCGTTGTAACTAAAAAAGAACAACAATTTAAAATATGCATTGTTTTCTCAAAGGACAACTTAATTTGGATAAAGTGCCAAAAAGACTAATATTTATCTACTTTAACCTTTATTTGAACAACAATTTAATTACTAATGCATATTTTAATTAGTTTGGTTGGGGAATTTCGAAGGGAAGAGAAGGAGAGTTGATTTTTTACTTTTTTTGAAAGGATTTTTTTTTTATTTACTAATTTATCTAAATTTATTAATTTTGAACTACAAGTAACTATATAATTAACAAGACCAAATATTTTTATATACTCCTTACTATTTGTCTTCACTTTATTTCAAATTTTCTAAATCTAAAAATTATTTCCTTTTAAAAAAATCTAAAAATTATTTCCTTTTAAAAAAAGCTAAAAATTATTTTATATTAAATATTCCCCTACCAAACTGGCCAAACAGGCCAGCCCGCATACAGAGGGTCCACTATCGCTAACTATATCTGGGCAACCGACGTGTGGATGATGGGCTGAGATTCCGGCAAGAGATTCACGAGTGACCGCCCGTCGACTCTGCTTCATTCCTTGCCCCCGGAAATTACTTTGACTCCGTTCAGATGCGACTAGCAGCTCTTATTTAGCGACAGTTGTTTCAGAAAGACTAACCACAGCAACTCCGCCAGTAAAGGAGGAAATTCAGCAATGCTTGGTCAGTCCCTTCAAATCCTCCCTTGCTGGAATACGGCAACCTCGTGTCACCGTCATGCAACTTCTTTTCCCATCCTGAGGCGCCGAGAGAGACGCCGCAGTAACAAACGTCTGGATATAGCTGCCACCGCCACCATGGCGACTCCGAGCGGCAGCGTTCAAGTGCAGCCAGGCTCGCCGGAAAAGGTAGCTCCGTATTCTGATTCCGAGCCGCGCCGCCTCATTTTGCTTCGCCAGGCGCAGAGTTCACGGGATAACCGCTCCCTCAGAGGTACCTTCCTAATTAAGTATTTAGCCTGATCCTTTGTCAGAAATTTCAATCCTTCATTTGTTTAAGTACCACATTGTTTCCATTGTCTTGAAAACCATAGCATTTCTTTAAATAAGGAAGTTTTTATTTGGGAAAATTATTATTAGCCCCCCTGAGGTCATATCATAATTATTAATCCAACCTTGCATTTTCAAAAATCAATTAGTTTCCCCCTAAGTTTTGATCATTCTCACTATATACCCCCTCACATTAATATTTGTTAAATTAAATTTAATATACCTGTTAAGTTCAATGAAAGTTGTATTTGAAATTAATTTTTAAAATATAAAACAATTTATCATCATAATTATAAGTTATTGTTGATGATCATTTGTTTTCTACTTAACTACTCAATCGTGGAGTAACAATTAATGAGAGTAGTTAGGGGGAGGATTCACGAGTCATATTCATGGGATAGTAAAAAGAATTGTTTATAAAATGTGTTATCAAAATTCTAGGCATTTCTTCATTATGAATATATAAGTCTTATTTGTAATTCATTCGGTTGAATTAATTGCATTGACATTTCTTTTCGTGTGTAGGAAAGAAGAAATACTAAGATTTTGTTATCATTCCATGACCTAAAATATAGGTTTAATATCAATAAGGGACCTAAAAGACAAAATGTGTGATGATTATTCCAATTATTCCATGATCTGAATAATTGAAAGTTGTCAATCTAAGACCTAATTTGTGTTTTAAATTTTTTATTAACTATGATCAACAACAATGACTTATAATTATGATACTAATTTGTGTTTTACATTAAAAATTAATTTTATAGACATTTTAAATTGAATTTAAGAATTATATTAAATTTAACAAATATTAACGTGAGGGGGCAAAGAAAGAGAATGATGCAAACTGAGGGGGTAAGTAATTGATTTTTTAAAATGCAAGGTTGCATTAATAATTATGATATAACCTCAGGGGGTTAATAGTTAATTTCCCTTTTTATTTGGACTGAAATTTGATGGTGCTGTCTGTTTAAGTAAAGTCTCTCATGCGTTTAAGTCTAGTCTGCTCTGGGACCGAGAACGGTCCAATAAAAACATTTAAGATAAAAAATTGTGCAAATCAGCGTCGAATTGCATGAGATCACTATTTCCTTGCTTCTTTTTGTTATTTTTAAGAATTACACTCACAGCAATTTAATTGATTGAAAACACCTATCGCTTCAGAGATTTAGGAAAACGGTATTGCATCAACATTGCTTGGTAGTTGAGCTCAAATTATACCATACATCCAAATGTTAAATAGATCTTTTGACATTTTTAAAATGTTCTTGACTGCTGCTTATTTCCCTATACCTTGGCAGTTTGCATGTGTCCCATACCCTTGTGTATTTGGATCATTTTCTTCTAAAGGACATCCGTTTGTACATGTTGGACGTTGTACATCCATATATACCATATAGGAACTCATAGTTGGCCATTCCATTCATAGATTATGATCGGCCTTTGAGCCAATCCGGAAAACTTGATGCTGCTAAAGTTTCTCATAAGCTACGGAAATTGGGATGGATTCCAGGGCTCATTTTATGTAGGTTCGTGCCCTCTTATAAAGAATATAACTGAGCTCTCATTATGGGGTATATTTTCTATATGATGGTGATGGATAAAAATCTGATACTTGTTTTGGTGTTTGTAATATTTTATGCATTGCTATAGTGATGCAACTAGAACTAGAGAAACTCTGAAAATAATGCAGGAGCAGGTGAGGGGATTTTTTGAAGCAGAGGTGCATTTCCTTTCAAGTTTTTATTTTGTTGCAGCCATGGATGGGCAAACGGGTGAACATCTTCGGCAGGCAATCTGTAAATACTCTGCTGACAATGTACTTACAGTAATGTGAGTTCTTCCACTGCAAAGCTTCTTCATTATGTAGTGGAAGTGCATTTCTTGAAGAGTGTCTCGAAATATTGAATGACTATTTTAACAAGCTTTGACCACATGGCCACATGGGGGTGACAGTCATTAGCAATTGTCATGAGGGAATGTTGAGGAGTGTCCCACATAGGCTAATGCAATTGAATGAACTAATTAGTAAATGCTGGACAATCCTCACCTTTAAATGGCTATTTCAAGGTTAAATTAGATTCAACCTTATTCTTAAATTCATATATCTCTGTCCACAAATGTACATGTTAATACACTGAAATTTTGACGAGCTAGATGCTTATAGTCTTACACATACAACTTCCTAAATAATCAACACTTAGAATCTACTAAGCAAGGACATGTCTGTTTGGATTGAGAACAATTAGATTTCAAAATTATAAATATTTGTGTTCTGGAAAGCTGAAAATGAACCCTTTCATTTGTACAATTACAAAAGCGCACTTGTGCTGTTGTCAAATAACCATTGTTGTGAATCCTGATTTGCTGTTTGTAATACAGTTGTCAAAAATGTACTCCATAATACAGTAACTACAATAACAAGCATTTATTAAGACTGTTGATTTCAAAGATGCATGTCCAGGTGCATGGGGCACAATAGGGGGTGGGAGGAGGCTGCTTCCATGTTTTCAGGGGCTCTTGTAGAGCTGAAGACTTGTAATGCCGCTTTACTTGAAGCTACCGGGAAGTCATGGAAGGAGGTATGTTTAGCATTGGGCCATTAAAGGCAAGTATCTTTTCCAAAACTAGATCATGAACATGTTTATTAGATTCCAGTTGGCAAGTGTAAAATTGGCTGAAATGGTTAAAGTTGTTGAATTGGTTGATATTGTTCAAATTGCGGCTGAAATAGCCAAATGGATTTAAAAATAATTTATAATGTATCCATTATGTATATTTTGTTAATATATACGAAGTAAAATAATAAAATCTAAAGACAAGGATATCAGGGTTTTTCCCCGAATCATCTTAGTAATTTCATAAAAGGTCACTTTTTTCATTTTATTATCAACCGATTCAAATGAAGTGATCAAATAAGTTAGGGTCTGATAGAAAGCATTATGAATAGGGCTGATAAAACAGTCAACCATAGAGACTAATAATTTTGTGTGACGATAAGTTGGTGAAAAATAAAGTTCATTTGACACAAATGGCGAGCAATACTGGTAAGATCAGCAAATGGAACTTTGTTTTTTAAATTTAACATAATATTCCCTTCATCCCAACGTAAGATTCTCCGTCACTATTTATGTAGTCATCAACTCAGTTTATTTTAATCTCTGATTTTATGCAAAAATATCATATTACCGTAGTCTCTAAATGTGTAAATTATACGTAGTGATTATTAATACCGATTTAAATTCATATCAGGACAAAGATAATTTTATCATCAGTTGTATATCGTAAACCAAATCAAGAACCATACATTGGGGCAGAGGGATTAACTGTTTCGCTGTTTCATTTCCATTCATTATCTAAAATAGAAAGTATAGTGCCGTTCTGATATATTGAGCATATAACACATGCTTTCAATGACATGGAGATTTGTTCGTTGCTGTGTTGAGATTAACAGTTTTGAATATTTTGTGGGCCGTTTGGTGGATTACTTTAGTTTGCTAAATGCGCTGATTTTTATGTGAAATATTATCTTCCATTGTCAGGCATTTTCCCTGACTGGATTTGGTGGGTGGAAGCTCCATGGCATAGTGAAGCCAGGTGCTGTTATATAGTTCTATAATGTACAAGAAGATCTTAAGGGAAACAAAGCATAAAAAATTGCTGTGTGTTTGTGTACGCGTGATCTGATACAAGAAGTCAAACTAAGAAGAAAATTTGATAATGGGATGAGCATTTGCTTTGTAGATGATATGTAGAGGTGTGATGTGTTTTGGATTTGGTGATAGACTTTCAGTCGAGTACTACGCTACTATAGTACTATCAAACAATGTCATCAAGAGTATATGATCAGACCGTTCAGGAAAATTGAGGTTATTAGTAATATGAATATACGATGGGTCCTTTTGTAGTTTTCCGACTCTATTATAAATATATATGTAGAGGCTTCTATTAGAGTAACATGTTCTATTATCTTATCAGAGGTCAGGGGGGATCTGATTTGCGCCACAGCTTTTTTATTGTAGTGCATTCAGCGTTCGTATTAAGCATTAAGCCTGGTTTTCAAGTTTCCACAGCAAAGAAAAAATTCAATAACAGCATCTTTTTTTTTTCATTTAAAATCTATTTTATTGTTGTGCCACAATGTATTGTCTACTACTCTACTTGGATCAGTTGGATGTATTCCACCTGTTCCACCCCTCACACTTGTTATACCGTATGACCGGTATACGGTGAACACCGTATGGCATACGTTTTAGGCATCTTTGGAAGCTCCCCATGAAACATGTATTAAAATGATAGTGGATCCTATTATTTATTTATTTCTCTTGTTGTTAAAAAGTATAATAACTTTTTCATTTGTGATCTGGTTTTTATAAAATTTATATCAAATTTTTTATTTTTCATGATCTTTCAAATGAGACCTATGTAAAATATTAACATAGGTAAAATATTGTCTATGTAATTTTAACATATTATCGAACTATTATATTAACCTATGTAAAATACTCCCTCCATCCCTTAAAACTTTGTCAACTTTCCTTTTTTGGATGTCCAACTAACTTTGCCACTTTTCCTTTTAAGTAAAGAATTTGTGGTTCCAGTTAATTCTCTCTCCTCTGCACAAATCTCAATCACACAGTTTTTACTTTATTAATCCTCGTGCCGGTCAAACTTGGCAAAGTTTTAAGGGATGGAGGTAGTATGTAATTTTACGTGTAGAAATATGTAACTCACGTCCAGTTAGGCCAAATGCAACTCGTGTGTATAAATATGTAACTCTACGGATAAAAATATGTAACTTTACGTGTAAAAATATGTAACTCACGTTCAGACAAGTCAAATACAACTCGTGTGTATAAATATTTAACTCGCGTGTATAAATATGTAACTTTACGTGTAAAAATATGCAACTTTACGTGTAAAAATATGCAACTCGCTGTCAAGCAGGCCAAATGCAACTCGTGTGTATAAATATGTAACTTTACGTGTAAAAATATGTAACTCACATGTATAAATACATAATACAATAATTTTTTTATATATACAATTTTAAAATAGTTCGATAGTTCGGTTTTCCTTATAATCCAATAATCATTTATATAATACTCCATAGTTCGATAATTTTTTTAAAATTACATAAGCAATATTGGTCTCATTTGATAGATCATGAATCATGAAAAATAACAAAATTTAATATAAAATTTATAAAAATCAGATATGAAATAAAGAAGTTATTACAATTTTTAACAATAAAAGGAATAAAAAATAAAGAAGTCACTAAATGGATGAAAAAGAAAGAAAGCACTAACCGGAGGAAAAAGAAAGCTTCTATAATGAGTTTAGTTTAGGGAGGAGAAAAACGACACCGTGTTAGGACCGGCATACCATGCTCATGGTATGCCGGTTGCACGGTATAATTTGTCACCCCTCAAGATCAGATGACCCCTCAATTCGGTCCCCAACCTAAAAGAAGGTTAGATTGGCACCCTAAACTGAAAAAATGGTTCAAATTTTAGTTTTAACGGGTCCCCATTTGGTCACCCACCATGTCACCGGTCAACTGTGCATCTAACTTCGAAATTAAAAGTTCAAATAAGTCCCTCAACATGTTCGAATTGTTCAATTAACCCCTCAACTTTAAAAAAGGTTCAATATTGAGATAAATTCAAAATAAATACTTCCTCCGGTCCTAAATAAACTTCACACTTTGACTTCACACAATTTATGGAAATAAATTTGACTTTACTGTAGAGTAAACTATTGTGACACTATTTGGCACTGTTTTGCATTGTTTTGCACTGTTTTGATGTAGATAATTTGCCAAATAAGGAAGAGAGAAGAAGTGTGGAGTTTATTTTGGACCTACCCAAAAAGGAAAGTGTGAAGTTTATTTAGGACCGGAGGGGGTATAAAATTATAAGACAGAGTATAAAAAGCACAATAGTTTTAAGCTTTTGAGGTTGTGTTCAATACATTTTGGAAGAAGGGTCAAAAATGACATTAAAGTTTTTAATGAATCTCGGATAAGACATTCAAGTTTTTGGTGGATCAAATAAACACAAAATCTAACTTTTAGAGTGATTTTAAACCACCCACTAACTTTCCGTTCTAACACCCATTTCCCCGTTATGAAGACCCTTTCCTTGCGATTAAACACCACCATCAATATATACATCCAACAACCCTAATTGATTATAACCTACCTATTAGAGGTCCTAGCTTCAATCAATTTTTGAAGCAAGAGGAAAGGATAACAATGGCAGATAGTTGTTCAGTATCAAGGTTGGTAGAGATCAAGCTAGAGAAGATGTATCTATTATTTCGTAATATTTAATCGGAGGTTTATTTTATTTCAAGTTAAAAAGCTGACTTATGCATAAAAGAGTTGGACGAGTTGAATCTGAGGGTCAGAGTCAAACTGAGAAGTGAGAACTGAGAACCCTAGTTGCAATTTGTGTCTTGCATCGCCGACAAGCTTCTGGACCTCACCAAGCTCGAAAGGTACGACAACGACATCCTTTTCCGGCACAAAATGGGCCTCAACCAGTACGGACGCGCAGTGTCTGGCCCGGCCTCAAGCTTGAGAAGTTCGACACAGCGGCTAAGATCAAGGTCATTAAGGAGATAAGATCTTTTACAAGTTTGGGTTTAAAGGAAGCAAAGGAGCTGGTCGAGAAAGCTCCGGTGATGGTGAAGAATGGGCTCAATAAAGAAGAAGGTACTACCATTATCGACAAGCTTAAGGAATTAGATGCTACTCCTATATCGGAACAAATCACCAATTGTAGTTCTTTTTTCTCTTTATTGTAGAATAACTTTTATTGCAGTTGAAAAAATGGAATTTTTAATGTCTACTTTGATTAGATTATTGATATCCCATCCCACAATTGTTGATAATGCTGATATATTTGATTGCTGATTTCACACACCATGAATCGCAGTATCATTTAGTTGGTCTAAATTGGTGGACTCTGGGGTTGTTTGGTTCATTTAGTTGGGTAACTGTCTTTGACGGAATGTTAGTGGATGGTTAAAACTTAAAAATGAAGGTAAAAGTTTAAAATTGGGTTTATTTGGTCCACCAAAAACCTGAATGTCCTATCCGAGATTCATCAAAAACCTTAGTGTTCTTTTTTGCCCTTATCCCATACATTTTTTACACCTATCAACGCCTTGGAAAACGATGTTCTATACCAATAACGGTGTTCATTAAATCAGTCAAGAATTCGGTTTCTAGATTTTTTTATACCAAGAATTTTAGGGTGAATAGGGTTCTAAACTTGTTCCGAAACTAACCGAAACTCGTCGGTTTGTTATGAGAAATCAGCAACGCGTTTGAAGGATGGGGGGACTGAGAATTGAACCAGTCAAATAATAAACCGGTATTGGTTTCTGAAAGACGGCACTGGAAATGGCCGATCCGGTCTGGCTCCTGTATTTATTAATAATACGTAGTATTATATCCTATATGGATGCGGACATGCGGTTCCAATAAGACGTAGCTTTTAGGTGAAAGGCGAATGAATCTCGAATGTTTGATAGTATTATTTAATAATCAATTGCAATCAACAAAATTTTAGTGTAGAATAAGTATATAAATTATACTCTGTTCTTTAATTGTCTTTTAGAATGTTTTTAAATAGGCTGGTTTCAATCACAGACTTAAACAAACCAGACCAAATTAGACTTAAACAGATTAGGCCAGACCAAACAAGAACATTTCAGCCCAATTAAAAACATCCTTACTCTGCAAAGATAAAGCTTTTAATTGTATTTTACTATGTTCTTTGATCTCTTCATAGTAATAGTATGGTAAAACACAACAAAAAGTGAAAAAATAGCCTGGGAACCGATGCCTTTAGATGCAAACTCCATTTGTTGTCCCGGTACCCCTGCCCTGTACGGTGGGCCGGTCAGTCCGTGAACCGGTCATGAATCTAGTGTTCATGTGTACTACTAATTCAATTAACTGAATGTCAGTTCATCACAATTTTGGTATAATTAACCCATTAACCGTAATACAAGAGAAAAAGACTATATTTATTAAACAATTTGGGGCACAATAACGCTAGTGCTAAAGCGCGAAGCATGAAATCCAAACATGCATAGATTTTTTATTGTTACCATACCACCCACAGATTTTCCACTATTTCATGATTTTCATCCGGTTAACCAGACCAAATATTTTAATAATATGGGTACGATAAACAAAAAAAAAATACTTGTTTGGGATTTCAGAATGGTTTTTCGGTGTCGGTTTATTGTGCCACACCCGCAAACCAGCATGTAATATTACTACTCATTGTTCTTAGCTATTGAAAGGTACCTTACATATACCTAGCTCCTATAGAAGTATAGAACCTGCTATGTGATAATGATCCATCAGTAACACAAACTATACCATGTTGGGCCTCTGAGGAAGCAAGAGATTATAAAACTTATCGTGCAAGAAGAAATGCTTTCCCATGCCATCGACTGCTTTCTTCCACCCACACCATCCGCCATTGACAATTTTCCTGTGATCATCGCTGCCAGTGTAGTGGGGATCCAGTATCAGAAATGCACAATCCCCAGTAGCATCATTGTAATTCACACCCAACAGTGTATATGCAAGAACACCACCACCTACAACAGATAACCGGGGGTATATTTATATTACATAGGTTAATAACAAAACCTCAACAACTAGTTTTTTATAAGGTCAGTATGTGTGTGGGGGGAGGGGGGTCCTACTAACCTATCATGATAGGCGTCCCTTGATTTTTAAAGTGCAGTGCCAACTCTCGGCATTTTTCTGGAAGCTCTGCTCCGGATCTCACATTTATGACTTTACACTCAACCTGTTTAACATGGCAAATCAAAGGTCAAACTGCAATTTAAATCATAAACTTTATTGCTATATATACTTGCAATATTAAGATCGTTTTACCAAAACAATGCACACTTACTCCAAGCAGTTTGTCCAAAACGTAGCTAAGCTCGATGGCTCCAATCCAATCACGTGACCCTATGAACGAAGGATCCTTATCTCCAATCTCCACAAGAGCCTGTTGTATTTCTCTGCAATAACAGGTTCTCACTATGATTGTAAATGGGTAATCAGCCATTTTTACCTGGTTCTACGTCTCAACAGTGTACTTTTCTTGTCCATCATGAAAAACAGGCCTGGTTTGACTGGTTGACCAGCTAAAATGACTGTTTTTAGTAAATGGCTTTTCGGCTCCAAAAGCCAAAAAACGGTTGGTTGACATAGCAGTGCTTTGGTGAACGACTGAACGGCACCACACACGTTGCTCCTAGTAAAACTTTTCTTTTCGGTCTTTATTTGTTACTTGTATCATCTAGGAACATGCAACGAAATTCGAAATATATAATACCTGGAACAGTCCAGGCATTTTGCTCCTTATTTTGAAATTTGTAAAACGCATAAAAATAGGGATTGCTACTTTTGCTAATGTCGGTTTTGTCTTAATGATTTAATACAGAGTATGTATTAGTATATAACAAATCATGTCAGATGATAATTAATCAGTACTCCCTTCATATTTACATACTTGCAATATATCCCTTTTGCTTGCAACACTTTCCTATTTTGGTAAGTTTATCATCTACAAATACATAAATACCCTTACATTTTCATCTCAATTCGTACTTTCCCATCACTTTTTTTTTTTTGAAATGGGAGCAAGGGAATGGGAGCCTCATGGGTTTGAAACTTTCGTACTTTCCCATCTCATCTCTCCTACTTTTTACACTTTTCTACATTATTCACTACCCACACTATTTCACTCTTAAACTCCACGAAGACCCTATTAATTGGGAGTAAATAAAAGGGATGGAATATTAGTTAAATACGTTTTTACTAACAAAAATGTTATAATTTTTACCGAGTATAAAAGTCTTTATATAAATATATTTATGGCCTTAAGTCAACTATGTAGCACTCTAGCTTACGGACAAACAACCAATTTTACTAAGCAGCTTTTCATAAACAGTCAACACAATCAACCAGTCATAGCAACAAATACTATCAGCAAGGACAGCAATTAAAAACACTAGATACTGAGTAGCTAATTGCTAATTATCAAACAAGGCCACTGAGAAAGTTAAGAAAGTTCCCATAAGAAAACAACCAAATTAACTTTATACTTTATGTAGCAAATATTTTTAATTTGATAACAAACAAGGATTAATTAAATACCTATGAGAAGGAACATTAACTGCAGTATACTTTTGCAGTCTGAACCATGAAATGATGGTTTGTAGAGAACGATAAGCACAACCCCATCCCTAAAAGGTGAACCATGCAGACTGTTAAACAATAATAATTAGAAAGAGTAAGATACATCCTAATGAGCCAATACAGCACGTCACTATGTGATATCAATCCTAGAAGGAAAGGTAGGCATACAATATCCCTTTAATGAACGACGTGAATAGGAGGTAAACTTTTTCTAGTCTTACACATCCATAAGTTAGATGAGGAAACATGTCCATATTAAAAGTTGGAGTATGTAATTTCCTTTAAGTATATGCTCTAACTCAGCTCCTGTATCAAGCAAGTAAAAGAGCATATAAAATCTATATGACACGTGCAGTGTATGCTTTTCTTATTGTATTGTTTCTTGCTAAGTAGACAAAAAGACCACAAAAACCAAACAATTAAATAAGCTTAAAGAGGCTTTCAACAAAAACTATGATATTTGCAAGCTATAGTAATAGAGGCTTTCAACCAATTTATTGAGCAAAAATAACGATAAGACTCAAAGTTAGACGATCAGATACAAATTACTCTATGTCAGTATGTAACATATATATTTTGAAGAATTGAGTTTAAAAAGATTTATAATTACCGAGTCATCAAATCCATCTTGGAGGTAGTGAAAGTACTCATAAGAACCTTGAACTAATGAAGTATTTCCTTCAGAAACTTTAAACAGGAGAATAAAATCAGAGCAGAAATAGGAAACATGAAAAATAATATGGTAATATGGGAAATCGTCTTCATTTCAGATTTGATGTTAACAAATCTAATAACCCATTAGTCAAACATGAAGGCATACCCATTGCCATAGCTTCCTGGACATTTATTATATTTATTTATCCTCAAATTCTTATAGCATAGACAAATGCTCACTAGATATCTAGAGGTAATCATTTTGGTTTAGAAGCTAAACAAATGCTGCTGGAGTACATTACTAGTTCATTTTGCAATGACAGAAAAGTATGCATCAATGTAGATTCTCATGTAGAAATCCTAACAAAATGAAGCAAGCATTTGGTCTATAAGAGTAAAAAACAAAATTCAAGGGGCTGGGAGGTAAACATTAATAAAAATTTATGATTGTGGTACGAGAAGAAAAGCATATTAAATTATTAACTGCTACTCACCACCACTACATGGAATTCCTATATGTACATCCTTGAGCAAAAAGGGACCTACCAGTGCAATAAAATGAAATATCAAAAATCAAATGATTAATATCTACTATAGAAACAAACAATTTTACCCTTGCATGCAGTGCCTGTTTTGGCATCTTTTACGGCTACTAGATTTATAGCATTTGCAATTCTAAGAAGAGGGCGATCAAAAGGCAAGCCAAGCCTCAAATGAAGGGACTTTCTTGCTTCAACTGCAAAAAAATAGAGTCCTTAAATGTTGCAGATTTTTATCTTAGACATTCAAGATAATGGTCCAAAGGTCTGGATTCATTCTTACCTTGTTTTATTTCTGTTTCCCCATAGTTGAGTTCATATAGAACTGTGATAGGATGCAAGAATCCTGAAGGAACAAAGTGGTATGGATGTAACTGAAAAAACATACACAAGTCATATTCCAAAGATAGTCCATCTATATGCCCTTCTGCATCAAAGGCATTCACAATTTGCATAGTATCCGTAGAAACTATAAATGAAAGAAGTAATATCCAGCGATTCCAGCTAGGGAACATAAATAAAATATTCTAAATATACAGATAATGTTTTGGACAATCATTAATTCATTATAGAGTTCAAACGAATATAAAACTGCTAAGTGCCGAGTATATGGGAAAAAAGACTATAGAAGTACATTAAAATATGGTAGTTAAAACTTGCTTATTTAAATAAATAAATAAAAATAACTACACCTTTCATTGTCATAACACTCACATTCTACTAATCTACTCATATTCTCAATGCCATCAAGACTACTCAAGTATCCCACATCTAATCAAGTAATTTTTCACTCTTTTTTCCAACTGTAATTTCTATCCAAATTAATTCTTTTTCAAGTATACCTTATATGGCTCCAAACATCTACAAGGAACCAGTGCAACAAAATTAGTATCTGGACCTTTAGAAGCCTTGGGCTACCCAATTACCCAATTGTATGTCTCTACCAAATCTGGAAGTGTTATTTTTAGCACAAACAATGAGTATATGTTTATCCCGAAGCATAGGAGTATCATTAGTTCTTCGCTAGCAAAGAGGCAAGCAGAGTCAATCAGTCAAGATCATAACCAAAATAGAAAATGAATTAAACAAGAATCATTGAAAGTGTATTGCAATTTGGGTTCAGAGCATGTATGTATACGAATATTGGATTCAAGATCATTGTTTAAGTACATAGTGGTAAATCCCAGATGGTTATAACAAGGGAAAAAGAGAGTTGACATCTTACATCTGGATACCCCACCAAGAGATCATTGGAGATTTTGTTCTTTACTGAAAGTAATTGGTCAACTAAAGCAGGAATGACTAATTTTGACACAACAAATCTCAATGTAGATTCCTTTGAAGCGTAACAAAGTACTTCAAGTTTGTGATCTAAAACCAAAAGTTTTGTCTCTTCTGAAGCTGAAACGACACAAGTCAACAATTGTCCAGAAGAGTTTAGAGGTGGAAGAAAAAATTGTAAACTGAATCGGGGAATAAGTGCTCAACTGAGGATTGAAAATTGTTAGTCATATAGAGTTCAAGTGTGGGCCAATAGAAAACTATTACACTAAATTAAATAATCATCACCTGGACAATACTCGGAAACAGTTGATACAGGTTTGAGAGGATCCCTTGATTTATCAAGAAAAATGCTTACTTGGATTTTATCTGCACTCTGAAAACAAAAGATCTTACAAATTGAACGAGAAACAGGCCCATGTGTAATTCAGTGAACTTTTTTCCTTCTAATTTCTATTCTAGCATTATCGAAGTAAGATCTTTTGGAGACGAGGAAATGAAGTTTTGGACATGAGTAAAATGATCCTTTTTCCTTCTAATTTCCATATTTCTGAACTTCCTTATCTTTTGTAAGATCTAATTTCCATGAATTCCAAAAGATCATTTTGCCTAGTTAAAATAAAACATCTATGGAAACAAATGTGGATGAATCATACCTCTTCTATAGAGCTAAATGTTGCCATATTTTCGCTAGTTTGAAACAAGTCTGAACACAACAATGTTTTTGCGCTAGAGCTTTTATTACTAAGTTCACTGTAAGCCAAACCAGCTAGTTGAGCGTGGGATTCTTCCAAGTCCTGAAGGATGATAGGTGGAACAGCAGCTGAAACTTGGTTTAGTGCTTCAATAATGAACGTCAATTGTGGATCTCTAAGTGAAGAAACAATAGCATCAATTGCACACGTATATATATCATGAACAACTGCAGGGAACATGTACAAGTGTCAAATGGTTAAGTCAATTTAATGGATTCAGAAAAAACTACCTTCACATTTGTATGTCAGCATTGGTTTGTTTTTCATTGTTTATCCTTAAATAGACCGATATAAGAACATATCCTATCTGATTTACTTAACATAAATTACAATTTGAAACTCAGTAATCTTTTTTCCTTCTAATTTCTATATGTAAAATTGTCAGACCTAATACAATCATGGATCATGGGTGCTATATAAGACAAAGGAGAACTTGCCAGCTAAGGATTTATTCCCCAATAGGATGTAATGGGGACAAAATACATATACATAGATTGGGTTTAGGCAGTAAAGATGAGTAGAATAGAATTCTGAATTTCCAAGATAAAAATCACACACACATTATTACTACTCAACCGAAAGTTACACTCTGATAGAAAATGTGACACCCGAAATGCCACTACAAGTGTTTATAACTGTGTGCTTCAAGAAAGCTAAATTGTGACTGTTTGGTAAAGCTTGTAGTTATAGATCATGGTCATGGATAACGACTTATTCTGGTTGAGAGCGAATAAATTATTGAATCAAATAAGCAAAAACATGTCATACAATCCATAATCTATAATTTTTCTCTGACCCAAAAAAATGTATTATATTGAGTACAATATATCATCTCTAGGAATCCAAAATAGCACAAAATGTAGCCCAATAAAAATACTTAGTCAGTATCACAAAAAGGTAAATAAGAGTTTACCTTCAGGACTATGCTTCTGAGGGTAATACAAAGGCAGCTTAATTGGGAGCTCACAGCGAATCAAGCAGCCTCGTCCCCAAACGAAAACGAACTTCTCTGGCTTCTCCTCTTCTCCTTGTACAGAAAAACATACATTCTCCAACTTCCCGCCAACTCTGGGCACAAAAAACTGGGCATTCCCACCGCAGTTCAAATCCACTACAGCTCCAATCAAATCTTGTTCTTTCGTATCGTCATATAGCACCTCCCTTAGTTTTCGAGTCAAATCAATAGCAACATTCGCGGTTTGATTGAGATCACAGTCCTTTTCTACTATCATGGCTCCAATTACCTCAAAACCCTTAGGTAGCAATGTCCTTAGATCATCTTTCAGGCAGCAAAAAGAAGGTTAAGATACAAGTATAAAATCAGGAGTTTTTTCAGGAATACAGGAAGACAAATTTACCTGATTCTTTAGAGAAGTTCGGAGACAATGGATTGGAGGGGATGGTGTGTATACAACGGAAGGTAGAAATGATAGTGAGAGGTGGGAAGAAGGGAGACCCAATAAGCCATTGGAGGCCAGTTTCATTTGCTATGTGGAGCTTCCGGCAATAGATGCGAATACTCGGCTTCTGTTTTTCATCCATAAGACTTCGCGGGATGGAGTATGGTGTGTGATTCAGAACTCTGTGTATTGAAATGTCTAAAACGTTGGTTTCCCGTTTCTTAGAGATATATCCAGTGTAAGGGGGCCTAGTTCAACCTGAAGGAAGAAGGGGCTAAGAAGAGACAAAAATAATAGACTTACACACACTTACAAAAAAACTTACCCCGTTGTAAGATTTTTTGTAAAAGTGTTTTAAATGTGATTTGATGTGTTAAATAATGTGATGATGACACATACCCCTTTGTAAGAATTTTTGTAAAAATTTTCATACCTTTAGCATAACTCAAGAAGAGATGGTGTGGCAGATACCGGTTCGTATAGATGATCCGCTGAGCGCTTCATTTATACGAACTTTACAAGCACGAACGGTACACGTGTGTACAGTAAATAGTTTTTTCATTTTGTCCTAGTAGCATGAATGATGTAACTCGCGTGTAAAGACATGTAACTCACGGTGATAAAAAATGCAACTGCAGGCAAGTCAAAATGTAACTTGTCTAATACGAATTATAAGATATAAAACATTGATTTCAATGAAAATAAGGAATCTAATTGTTCAATTACTTTACGTAAATAGTGAATATGTTTTGTCTTTAATATTAAGACCATAATTAATATTTTTTGCTTAAAATCATCTATTTTTCCAAAAAATCATTATTTTTCACCCAAAAAATCATTTTTTTGCAAAAAAATGTTTTTTTTTTGTTTCAATAGCAGGGGATTACTTAAACAGTGAATATAATCTGTTTTTTATATCAAGGCCTTAATTTTTTTTTAAATCAGTTTTTTTGCCTAAGAAATCACTTTTTTGCAATTTTTGTTGCATAAAACTGATTGTTTTGTTTGAATAGCAGGACTTTATGATGTTATGTAACTCATGTTATAGAAAATGTAACTCACGTTGATAGAAAATCTAACTTAGATGTATGCAAAATGTAACTCACGCGTAAAAAGATGTAACTCACGCATTAAAAGATGTAACTCACGCACAATAAGATGCAACTTCATATACTATCAAATGTAACTTACGCATAACAAGACGTAACTCACGCATAATAACATGTAACTCGAATATAAGAAGATGTAACTTCGCATATTATCAAATGTAACTCCAAGAATCAAAATAAACAAACTCAATGTCTTAAAAATCTCTAAAAACAAACTCAATATAATATAAACAAATTAAAGTATATATTGTCAAAGTCCTTCAATCCACCGTAAGGGAATACGGAGTCGCCGGCGAGACAAGTACGGCCAGAGATGGACGTGCTATCTTCTTTGTCTGGTAACAGCTTGTGTTAAATTATGTATTCACTGGTTTGAATTAAAGTTTGCTACATAATTGATTTTAGTCTCAATTTCAATTAGTTGAAGCTGACACGTCTGTTTCTTTAATACACGTGCACGAAGTATTACAAATTCGATTTAACATGTATGAATTGAATTTTTGCCGCAGGGACGAAGCATACGCTGGACGGCTGGAGAAGATGATGATTTTTTGTTGGACGAAGCATATGCCGGACGGCTCTGTTTTAATTAATATAAAACGTTGTCGTTTTGGGATCAGCACACCATGCGCATGGTGGGCCGATCCCACGGTATAATTTGCGGGCAGATACACACAAAAAGAAATAAATTCATGACATTTTCTTTATATTCTTTGCATCATTTTTATGCTTTTTTTGTAATTTTTTCTTTAACAATGTCAATCACATTATCTACATCTAGATTTTATACTTGACAATGTGAAGAGAAATTTATCAAAAACGTATAAGATCATCCAAATGAGACGAAAGATATTATATTATTTAATTGTTATTTGTTTATCTCTCATACCACATATGCATCAAAGTTCTGCACTAGAGATAGATTTTAGGTTCATGCTCATAACCTATAATAAAAACTCATGTACTATTTACCCTCCCTCATGAGGGTAGTACGAGCACCTCGAGGCTTAATCCTAGAATGTTTTTAATTGAACTACGGAGTATAATTTAATATTTGATCATGTTTGATCTGTTTTAGTTTGATTTGATCTGGTATATGTTCATTTTATGTGTATCTTACAACTCTCCGGGTATGGTCTTGTCTAATATGACCTGGTTTATTCAAGTAGAGTCAGGTCAATTATAGTCTGAGATTGAAGTGAGTATAATAAAAAAACATTAGTGTTATGTAATATATAGATCTCCATTATTCCAAGTTTGTTTTAAATTTTTAAGTATAATTCCTTTTGATTTTGTATTTTTTTTAATTTTACTTTCTAATTTCATGTTTTCAAAATTGAACAAGTTTGGAGATGATGTCTTTACTTATTAAGGTAGCATTGCTGACTTGTCTTCCATATGAACAACCTAATCTACGCCTATAAGGGTATGTTTGGGAGTTTGGAGGGAAGGGAAGAAGAGGGGTTTGGAGGTATGTTGTTGAAGGGGGGATGGGAGGGTGATGAAGTCCTTCTTTGTATTTGGGAGTAATAAATTTGGAAGAAAAGAGTTTTTGAATGAATTACAAGTACAATCACTTTGAGATAGGACGAATTCAAATAATTGAACTGATATTTATTTTTAATTGAGCTTAAATTACCATTCCATTAATTATCCTTCAAAACTCTACAAATTGGGAGAACTCAAAAATTGAGCATTTAGATGGCTTTGGAGGGTCACAAAAGTCCTCCAAAACTATCCCCTCCAATTTTATAAACTCCCAAACATGAAAAGAATGGTCATAAACTCCCATCAACCTTCCCTCCCCTCCAAAACCCAACTCTCAAAAACATCCTAAGGAGCAACAAATACAATAAGTGAAGTCCTATATATAAAGTCTATTTGGGAAAAAAATTGAAAAGTGAAAAAGTTATATTATTTTTAGTTTTTGGTTTATTTGTGTAAAATTTCCTTATTTGAAAATGGAGGCCCTCCCATAAATGGAGACCTGTGCACCAAGACTAACTTTACATTGGCCGGGTTGAGTACATCCAGAGTTATTAGTTTTGTGAACAAGGAAATTTGACACAAATATAAACAAAACAAAAACAAAGTAGCTAATACGGAGTATTAACAGGGGAAGTCAAAACAGCTTAAAAAACAATAAAAAACAAAAAGCTTAAAAAGAAAACATGAAAAGATAGAATGCAAGCATTACTCGCATTTGTATATCATGAAAAATAGAGTGGGTACGTATAAATTGTGAAGAAATAGGAAAATAAGACCATAAATTGTGGGTACGTATAAATAGGAAAATTCCCAAAATAGGACTAAATGCAAAATAAGACCATAATTTAAAAATTCTCTAAATAAGATTAGTTTTTCAATTCTACCCTTGCTTTGTTTTAATACAATTCATATTTCATTAATAATTAAAAAATAAAACTTATAACATTACTTTTATTTATAACAAAAATGTAAAAAAAATTAAAAAACACAAAATAAATATTAAGTAATATTAATAAAAAAAATTGAAAAATAAAAAATTACGGTGTATAAAATAAAAAGCTTAAAAAATTAAAATAATAAAATAAAATAAGTATGAAAAATAAAAATTATGCAGGCCTATATATGTTGCTGTCTTAGCAACCTCCCAGCACTATCAGCTCCAATCATCGAAAAAATGCCAACATGTGTGAGAAAAGTCATCTTGATGGCAACTTTAAAGAAAATTTTAACATTTATAAAGAGTAAAAATGCCATCTTTATAACATTTATAGAAAAAAATGACAGTTTTTATCCAAAATGACATTTTATTAGCCGGTCAGAGGAGCATTGTTGGGCAGTGCCCGAGGATGTGGGAAAGGCCTCTATATTTCTTTTATTTGAGAAATATTTAAAATATGAAAAATCTACGCTTGTACACGAAATTTGAACATATTTTATGCACACATACACCTCCTAGTTGTCTGCGTACACATGTACGTAGCTCGTTTAGAAGTTGCCTTGATACACAAGCAACTAGGCGTGTGTACACAGAATGCATACAAATCTCGTGTACAAATAGCACGGCTTTTAAAACATTTAGCTGTGCTCAGGAACGGTCCTAGAGGGGGCACGTGCAGGGGCTCTAGGCAAAAAAAGGATGAAATATTAGGATTGCGTTTCGTTCTTTATAATATGTGTGGGTAGACTGAGTTTTCAATCTTAAACTAACAATTTTTAGGGTATAACTTTTTGAGGTGCTTCCATGTGGATTTTTTTTGAATTACAATTTATGAGCATGTTCTCTATGAACCGTATGAAGTGTAGAATTTATCCACAGAGTTTCAGTTTAAAATTGAATCTAGAAGTCAGTTAAATAAATTATTAAAAAATATTGAGCTTTTTATGCATATTTTGGCGCAGTGTTTTTCAATAATTTATTTAACTAACTTCCGCATTCAATTTTAAACTAAAATTTTTGTGTGTATTATCTAAGCTTGGAAGCGGATTAGTGTGATATGATTATTTGATTAGTTTATTAATTGATTTCATTCATAGTTGATTGTTTGATTTCCTGATTTTCTATAGTTGTCTATCGAATGTTGATCTTATAATTGGTTGAATTTGTTAGACAACCAATATAAATTATAATTAAACTTGTAATTTAATTAATTTCAAGGTGTAATAAATATTATTGAATCTGGATAGGATAAAGATACTGCTGGAAAAATGTGTTAAAAATTGCATTAAATGGTCATTTTGGGGCAATTATTTGAGTGGGGTCCACTTCCGATTTGAGTCGGGTAGAAGTGGTTTCGGATTGTCCTTGTTAAGGGCTACAATTCGATATGTGGTACACTCAAAACGGATAACGGGTGAATGAGAAATTGATTCTCGAAGTTCACTCGTTGAAATGGAAAAAACTGGGAAAATGATGGGTTTCTAGTGTGTTTTATCCCACACCGAAAAACTCAAGGGATTTTCACCCCCTTATAAAGGGAAGCCTCTTTTAAGGAGTTAAGATTCCTAAAGGTAAAAGCTGTCTCTTACGCGCACGGGGGGTGCTGATCAAATCTTCGAAACGGAGAAGAAAAACCACGACTCGTGTGCGCGGGTGACCTGCGGACACGAATGTCGTCCGAAAACCTATCATTCAAAG